TGACTTACAGCCTATGGAGCTTCAGGAGCTTGTGCGGTGATGAGGTGATGAGGCTGATGTTGGGCTTGAGGCTCACCCAAGTGCTTAATTTCCAGCAGGTGGGAGACATTAGGGACTGTGACAATTTCAGCAAACACATCAGAGCTTCCAAGGAGGACAAGCTCAAATACAGGTTGGGCAGAGAATGCATGGACAGCAGCTTTGAGAAGGACTTGGGCGTGTTGGTTTATGAGAAGCTCATTATGGACTGGCAACCTGTGCTTGCAGCCCAGAAAGTCAGCCATGTCCTGGGCTGCATCACCACCAGTGTGGCCAAAAAGTCAAGGGAGGTGATTCTCCGCCTCTAACTCTGCTCTCATGAGACCCCTCCTACAGTGCTGGGTCCAGCTCTGGAGTCCCCAACACCAGGACATGGAGTTGTTGGAGTGAGTCCAGAGGAGGCCACAGAGATGATCCAAGGGCTGGAGCAGCTCTGCTCTGGAGACAGGCTGAAAGAGTTGGGGCTGTTCAGCCTGGAGAAGAGAAGGCTCCAGGGAGACCTTAGAGCACCTTCCAGTGCCTGAATGGGCTCCAGGAAAGCTGGGGAGGAACTTTTTAGAAGGGCATGGAGTGACAGGATGAGAGGTAATGACTTTAAGCTGAAAGAGGGGAGATTTAGGTTAGATATCAGGAATAAATTATTTCTTGTGAGTGTGGTGAGACATGGGAACAGGTTGCTCAGGGAAGCTGTGGAAGCCCCATCCCTGGAAGTGTTCAAGGCCAGGTTGGATTGGGCTTGGAGCAACTTGATCTAGTGGGAAGTGTCCCTGCCCATGCAGGGGGTTTGAGACCAGATGATCTTTAAGGTCCCTTCCACCCCAAACCACTCCGTGATTATATTAAATTCTGCCCTGAATCAGCCTTTCACCCCTCTTGGTTGCCTTCCTCCTGCAAGACTACATCTTTTGGTCACTGAAGGCCTGTGCAGGAGTAAGTATAGCCCCAAGCTGGTCCCCAGCCAGGCAGAGCAACACAGGGCACAGGGACTGCTCCAGCTCTCCCCTGACCACTGGAGACAAGCATGTTCCCAGCAGTGTTAATCCAATAATGAAACAAACTTCCTTCATTACCAGAGTCTGCAGAATGGTAAAACAGCTTGGTGATTATGGAGAGCTTAGACTACAGATCAGGTGATGGATGAGAATTGTGTTTCATCTGCAGGGAGGACAGACAGAGAACAAGAGGCATCCGGGAGGACACGGGATTGCTGGGACAAGTGGATTGGGAATTGCTACAGACAAAGTCTTTGGTCAACCTTCATACTCTCAATGGGGTTAACCTCAAACCACCAGGTTTCTCAAGCTCTTGTCAGTCTTGGGGATTAGCATCCTTGTGAATGGGGATCTGCTGTTACCTCCCAAGCCCTGTCACATGGCTGCCCTACCTCTGTTATTTCCAAACAACACTCATTTCAGTTATGGAACAGCACAAAGCAGCACAAAAATACCCTTGCAAGAGAGATTCAGTTCCACTTTTCTGGGGAGCTCCTGATCAGCTTCCATCACAGATGATAAAATGCACTAGTCAGGCCCAGAGTCACATAAGTTCTGAGGGAACCCCAAAATGAGACCTCCCCAGGTCCAAACAGGACCCTGGACCTGCCTGGATCTGCACCATTTCAGATCAGGTCCATCATGACCCAGTGTTAAACTGTGGGCTGGCTCTTTACTATGGCTCTCTCTACACCTTGCTCTTACCTCTTTCCTGTTGGACCTCCTCCAACACAAAAGGGTTCACATTGAGCTGGAAGCTCCATTGGGCTAGTGGCATTGTCCTCAGACTGCAGTGAATTTTCAGCCTTCTTCATCCCTGATATCCAGTCCCTCCTGGAAATGCTATGAAGAGGGTTAAAAAAAAACCCAAGCTAGGCTTAAGGCAGTTTTGCTTCCTTCCAAAAGAAAGACCCTTCTTGACTCTGGTCAATGCTAACAGCGCCTGGAGCAGGAAGGTGGTCCACAGACCTCGTGAGACCGCTTCCAACTCCAGTTAATATATGAGTGAAGTCAGCAGGTTAAAGGAAGTGGATATTTCCCTTTATTTGGCACTGGTGAGGCCACATCTGGAAAGTGTCCAGTTTTGGACCTCAAGTACAAGGAGAGAGTCCAGCAGAGGTCACTAAGATGGTCAGGGGCAGAGAACATATACAAGGACATGCTTGAGCAGTTGGGCTTCTTCAGCCTGGAGAAAAGAGGGCTGAGTAGGGATGTAATTGCTACAGGGAGGCCTAAGAGCTGCATGTAGACACAAAGCCCAGCTCCAGAGCAGTCCTGCTGGTCCAAAACCATTTCTGGGGAGCTGGTGGGATGCACACAGGTCTCACAGTCCTTAGTACTCAGCAGGGACAATCCTGAAATGGAGCCAGGCTGCTTGGGCAGCAATTTCACCCTAAGGCTGTAAGCTCACTGCCAGAGCCAGCACAAGCTGCCAGTTTGCTCCATGCCAGTTTATTGAGGAAAAAAAAAAACACAGCAAAATACATGAGGGGGCTCTACTGTGCTTCTGCTCTCTGGCTGCAGGGACCCAAGAAACCTCTGCTTTCCCAGCAGCAACCACAGAAAAGGCAGAGTATCCCTCAGGGATGAGCTCTGGAGCCATTATGGCACAGCAAAGCTGCTAAGGGCCCTTGAAACCTTTCCAATGCAGCAACGGCATCCAAGAGCATCTCTGCAGATTTCTGCATCTCCAGCCCTTCCTGCAGGTTCTGGTGTGGTGCTGCTGGGAGAAAAACCCTCCAGTAGAATTGCCTTCACCCCTGCCAAAGTGCCTCCATGGGATGGAGAGAGGCAGCTGGGATCTGCCAGCAGCCAAGCAGGGTTCTAAGGAGACACCCAATGTGCTCCAACTGATGCCTTTTAAGGAGCAGCAGAAGCTGAGGCATCCTGGAACAAAGCATCACAGTTTCTGCAGGCTCCCAACTGTGGCATGTTCCACAAAGTGGTCCCCACAGCAGCTCAAAGCCATGATGGGCAGCCATGACAGTGATCCCCTAGCTACAGACTGACTCTGGAAAACCCCAGAGCCCTGGATGGTGGAGCAGGGTTCCTGCCCTGGCTGTGGCACTCACACCCCCAAGGTCCCCACAGTGCCATCAATCATCTCCATCCCTCCCTTTAGCAAACCTGCAGGATCAGCTCCTTCCTGGAAGCAGGTGGTGGGGAGGATAATGCTTTTTCACAAAGCCTTCATCAAGCCACCTCCAACACATCCCACCAACACCTCGAGCACTTTGCTCCACTGATGCAAAAGGTTTGGTGGTCCAGCAGCAAATTTGCCACCACAATCCTCTCTGCCAAGCACAGCACAACCAGCAGGAGAGGAGGGGAAAGGGAAGAAACAGTGAGACTGAGCTTAGTTGGAAGCCTACATGGAGGAAACATACATGTGTGGGTACAGTAGCAAGCAACAGCAGGAGCAAGGTTAAAAGGCAAGGTATGAATTAAATGCTCCAGAGCACCAGATGTAGCTTCAGCCAAAATGGAGAGAAGGAGCAAGCTGGCTCAAGGACACAGTGAAGACAAAGAACAGAACTGGAGCTACTAAATACCCAGAGGAGGAAAACAGATCTGTGAAATTCAGGGATTCTACCTAAGACTTACAAGGGGTGAAGGAAAACAAGGAGGCAAAAGACCCCAAAGAGCATCCCCTTCTACAGGGAACATCAAGCAAGTCCAAAATTAGCTCATCATTGCCTGTGAAGGGTCCCAAAGACATAATAAGGCTGTCACCCCCATCATCTCTCCTGTGTCTCAGACGAGGGAGCTGGCTGGACCTCTCAGGCACATGGGTCTCAGTGTATGCAACAGTGAAGAAAAAAAACCCATTTTTTTTAGAGCTTTTGTATAATAAAATCCTCCTCTCTGCCACTTTGCCACAACGATCTCCCACTTGAGGTGGTGTGATGCGAGCACACAGTCCCCACAGAACAGGAGGTAACCATGCACCACTTTATTAGGCTGGTGCTGCACACACGGCTGAGACTGATCACTATTTACATTTGGCAAAGGATAGCAGCAAGCACAGAGCACCCATGCTGGTGAGGACCACCACCTGGCCTGGCCCCCTGTGCCTCGCTAGCCCTGGGCAGGCCCCTGCTTGCCTCTGCCAGCCTCCTTGCCTGCAGGCACAGGCATTTCACTTCTTGTGGGCAGAAACAGGTGCCCTCATGGAGGCACCTTAACAGATGGCTTCTCACCCTGTACCCACACATGGCCAACTCCAGGCCTCTCCCAAGGCCCTAGCTCTAGTCCTTGTGTCCTGAGCTCTGCCCAGAGGCAGGCAAGGGCCAGTGGGCAGCTAGCCAGCCCCACTCAGCTCCTTGCGTGGGGGCCCCCCTGGTGCCGTCCCAGCAGGCAAACTGGGACCCCCCAAGAGACCGGGATGAGGAGTCCAGCTGCAGCAATCCTCACTGGAGCCCACCTCGGCACGGCAGCGCTGGGCCCTGCAGACACTTTGCAGCCCAGTGTTAGGGGCACCTGGCCTCGAGCCCAGCTGGTGGGTGTGGGGACTATAGGGTTCGGATTGCCACTGGGTACAGCAAGGACATGTGCTCAGCACCCTTGATGGGCAGCTTGCGGCTGGCGTAGTGATGGATGATCTCTGGCACGCTGTTGAAGGGTGGGCTGTGCTGTCCCAACACGTACTTGTTCTCCTGGGTCCGGGACAGTTTCATGTGCATGAAGCCCTGACTGCTCCTGCAAGGAGAGATGAAGGCAGGGTTAGGGGGTGCAGCTGGTCCCTGCTTCCTGACAGGTCCTGATCCCCTCCAGACTGGCAGCCTGTTCCTGAAGCTGCAGGCTCCTGTCCCCAGTCATGGCCCACCCGCACCATCCTGCTCTTGGCCAACTCCAGATGAAGCCCGTGGCACAAGGACAGCATGTGGCTGGCCACACTGCACTGTGCAGACACTTTGCAGCCCAGTGTTAGGGGCACCTGGCCTCGAGCCCAGCTGGTGGGTGTGGGGACTATAGGGTTCGGATTGCCACTGGGTACAGCAAGGACATGTGCTCAGCACCCTTGATGGGCAGCTTGCGGCTGGCGTAGTGATGGATGATCTCTGGCACGCTGTTGAAGGGTGGGCTGTGCTGTCCCAACACGTACTTGTTCTCCTGGGTCCGGGACAGTTTCATGTGCATGAAGCCCTGACTGCTCCTGCAAGGAGAGATGAAGGCAGGGTTAGGGGGTGCAGCTGGTCCCTGCTTCCTGACAGGTCCTGATCCCCTCCAGACTGGCAGCCTGTTCCTGAAGCTGCAGGCTCCTGTCCCCAGTCATGGCCCACCCGCACCATCCTGCTCTTGGCCAACTCCAGATGAAGCCCGTGGCACAAGGACAGCATGTGGCTGGCCACACTGCACTGTGCGTCCTCACCAGGGACCAGGGCCCTGCCACAGGGTGCAAGTGGTCTATCCGGGGTGGGTGCATGTGGACATGGAAGCGGGGTCATAGCCCAGGCAGAAGCAGCAGAGGCTCTTGCTGCCGGGTGAGGCAGGGGCAGCAGCTTTCACCCCCCACATGTGGCAAAGCCCCTTCTGCAAGCACCTGGCTCACCCAGGAGGAATGATGATCATGTATCCTCAGCCTCACCATGGCAAAGCAGGATCTTCTCCCTCTGCCCACAGCCCGTTGCCCCCTCCCACACCAGGGCTGTAGGCTCCACAAAGCCCACTCAGCACAGCAAGGCCACTTCCCAGCAGGGCATGGAGACACACAAGGCTGCGCAGACAGATTCCCCCGCGAGCGCTGATTCCAAGTGACGGGCTAATGGCCCTGTTGCTATTAATTTGCCTCTCTGAGGAAAGCCACAGCCTGTCTGCAGTGTCTGGAAGGCACATTACAGCAAAATGTTGATGACTTAAAAGCAGCTCATGAGCAATGCTGAGCTGCTTCCAGCACTAGGCCGGCTGGTCCCATCCCCCCCAGCTGGAGATGGTGCCAGTAATGGACAGCCCAGCTGCATTAGCGGAATGGGTCTGCAATCCATTTAGCACCGAGACAGGGAGGCAGCTGCCTCTGGGGAGAAGAGGGCAAAGAGCTGCAGCACCCCAGCTAGTGGCCAAGGAAAAGCGACAGCCAGCCACATCCTGCAGCCCAGCAGCAGGGTGCAGGGGAGAGCTGTGGGGGCTGTGCCACTCGTGGTGCCCCACAAATGGGAACGGGGTTATGCTGCACACACACATCACACAGAGGGCTGCCCTCAATACTGCAGACAGGCTGTCTGCAGACAGACCCAGCCCTTGCTGGTTCTGGCAGGGAAGAGATGTGCAGGACCCTGCAGCAGGATCAGTGCCGGTCCAGAGCCAGAGTGCTGCCACACAAATCCACAGAGAGGTGATGCTGGTCGTGTTTTGTCCAAATCATTCCACAGGTCTTTCTCACAAGGTCAGGGACATGACCGAGATGGTTCCCCTGGAGAAATGCCAGAGTGCACTGCAAACCCAACAGCCTCGCAGCCAGCAGCAGGGATGGGACCAGGACAAGGGCAGGTGCCACTGCTGCCAAGGACCTTACAGACCTGAGGAAGGACCCAAGCCTTTGTAGCATGGCCTCAGGCACTATCATGGAGGCACAAGCCAGGAGGGACTCATTCCCTGAGCATCTGAGGTAGCCACATGACCAATCTGCCCGTGACAGGCAATGTGGGGCTGCCAATCCTGGACAAACCAGGACTGTCACAGTAGAGTTAAATCCTTCTTGCTGCCTGATGCTATGGGTACAGCTGCTCCTGCTGCTCTCTCTTGTGCATATTTTCCTTAAAGCTGCACAAAAGAGCTTTAGGTCAGCACCAGAGCTCTCTTTCAGACCATCTCCTCAGATTTGCCTCCTTCTTCAAGGAAAAAAAGTTGTTCGAGATAAAACAGAGAGACATGCAGACAGGCAGCTTACAGCCATATAAAAACTGTCCCAGGGGGGTTTCCTTGAAAAGGCTCTACAGAGAACGGCAACAGGGTAAAAATCATGTTCCTGAGGCTGTGGGCTCTCTGGAAGACAGGCATGGTGGACAGGCAATGCCTGAGCAGCCCCTGGATGGGCTGCAGTCTCCTCTGGGGAGGTGGCATGCTGCTGCAAGGCCACGACCCAGCTGCACATGCTGTTTGAGAAGAGGATTTGGCCATTTCTTCCACAGAGGCTAAGGATGGGCATTAGAAATAAGGAAAAAAAACCCAAAGAAATGAGTGACTAGCTTGCAAAGAAGTGATGGAAAAGGTCACCCATGCTGACAGGGGAGGAAGCCCCATCTACTACCCTACCATGGCCTCCCAGGCTCTCCAATCCATACGCTAACTGAAAAAAAAATAAATAAATGAGGGAAGTTTTCCAGAAAGGCTTTTTGTCTGATCTAAAAGCTACCAGTGCAAAAGGAAGAAAAAATATTTTTGCTAAAAGATCTTCCCTGGCTTGGTGTTGAAGGCAGCAAAAAAGCATCAAAAAAGAGAGAGACATGAAGCAAACAGATTTACAATTGTGTCACTGGGAAATGAATGGGGGAGGCTGGAATCACCAGGAAGCAATGCAGGTACATAGACACCAGGGGAAACAAAGTACATTGAGAAAAGCACAGGGATATGTGGCCCGCTGTTGGACAAAGGTGACGGAAGTGCTCCATACCCTATGCAATTCCACATCTGCCAGGCATAGAGCTAATATGTCCATCTGGCAGGAGGGCAGGGAGGTATTTGCTAATCCATCATCATCGTCAGGACAGCAGCAGCTTTGATTTTGTGGTTTTGGGCTGCCCCAAGAGTCCCAGAAGAGCTGGATGAGGAGCTGCAGCCCCTCCCTGGCAGGATGTACACTGCAATGCTTCCTACAGCTTCAGCACTCGGGAAAGCTGGAAAACTTGGGAGTGGGTGCAAAGATCCCCCCTAAAAACCCAAGCAGACATTAAATTCCAGTCATTTCTGACCACCCTGTGGTTGTGTCAGTGTTACCCCACTGACACCTTCATGTGGGGCACCCACTCGTCAGGGCTCACCTCCGGCACTAAGTCACCTCTGCCATGGGTCCACTACCCCCCAGCCCCATCACTCACTTCAAGGAGAGGGAGAAGTCATTCTTGCTGGTCTCACTGTTGCGCACCAAGTAGCTGGCTTCCTTGCACAGCCGCAGCAGCGTCTCCGCGTCCGTCCGGCTGATGGCCCCGTGGTACCAGCTGTGGGGGGAGAGGCACCAGCTGTGCCAGGCAGGAGCAGGACTCCACACCCCTGGGGCAGCAGCGGCACCAGCACCCCCCGGCCCCTCCCTGGGGACAGCAGCAGTCATGTTCGAGGAGAGGGACACAGGTGTCACTGCTGGGCTGTGGGGACAAGCAGTGGGGCTTCCACTGGGCAGCTTAGGGAGATGCAAAGGGCACACGGGGACACTACGACTGCAAGAAGGGTGGCAGGGACAAGCAGACAGAAATGCAGGGCCAGAGAAGAAGGGAAGAAGCAGGTGTGCCCTGGGGCTCATCGTGGCCTGGCCACAGGGATCCCAGAGCAGGCAGAGGGATCAGGCAGCAGTCAGGGCAGGCAGGACTCACCACTGGCTCTCCAGGGGCAGGGCAGGGTCAATCCTCTCCCCAACAAAGGGGACAGGCTCAGCAATCATCGTCTTTGTGCTCTTGAGGCTGCTGGAGCCTTGCCTAAGGACAGCCCTGGCCTTCTCCTCCCTGGAGGGTGAGGTGCAGCCATATGCCAGCCCTTCTGATGGACCTGCAAGACAGACATGTCACAGACAGACAGGCTGGAGCCCAGGGCCATGTCACATTGTGCTGGGGCCCCTCGCGCTGCCCTGTCCCCCTGCCTTAAGCAAAGACTGAGGACTGCAGCTCACTGTGGAGCCCCAGGATAAGACAAGGTGGGGTCCCCACCAGGCCAGGACTAGAGTCCTCACAGCACCTGAACCCCTGGAAATATTTTCCAGGGAGGTTTCAAAAGCTTGGAGATGTTTTCCTAATGAAACTGGAGATTAAGCAGTTCCAGCATCGAGTTAAGTGAGAAGCAGTAAGAGGAGGCTCTCCAATCTTGGAGGAATCTTTTTCACCTCCAGAGGTGAAAAAAAAAATTCCCCAAGGTGGGAAGGAGATATTCGAGCTGCGAAGTGCCTCTCCAGTGCAGCTGCCTACCCAGCCCCACGCACCAACAGGCCTGGTGAGCACCGGGCAGTGAGAGAGGTGCCCCTGGGACCCAGCCTCCCGCCAGCTGTTATTTCTGTGCAGGATGATTTCAGCATTAACAATATTGTTTTTCCCTCCTCCAGAGAGTTCATTATTGCTCCCTGGCAACACGAGCCCCCTCACACAAATGACTTTATTGATCGGGCAGAGCTGCCTTGATGTGAGCAGCTGCCACCAGGCATAGGCTCAAGCTGGGTGTCACATCTCCTCTTGCCCCTAGAATGAGCAGGACATCTCAGGCAGAGCAGCTTCCCCCCTCTCCATGCTCCTCGAAGGCTTTGGGAGCATCTCTGCAACCCCAGCAGCAAAGTTGGATGATGCCCCACAGCAGCTCAGCCTCAGCAAAGGCAAAAATAGCCAGTGAGGAGTGTTTTTCTCTGTTACAGAGCATTCTCTAAGGCAGCTATTTGAAGGAAACCCTGTCTGGGCCCTAAGCAGGTGAGCAGGTCCCCAGCACACTCCCAGCACCAAGGGAAGAAGGCAGCTGAAAGGAAACCCAGGCAAAATCCCCGTCAGCCTGGCTTGAAACCCCCCAAGAAGAAGTGGGGTGTGGAGGGGCTCAGCATGAAGGCTTGACAAGACCTGCTCTGCAGCACTCTGGCTTTCCACTGGCCAAATCTGCCCTTGTACACACAGTCCAGACTTCAATTTCAACTCAACACCTTAAGAAATGAGGGCAATCATTAAAAAGCCAGACAATCAAAACACCAACATGTTTGTGATAGCACCAAGTTGTCATGACAGAGACTCAAAATAAATGCACTGCGCCTGTCAGAGAGAGGCTATGGCGTGTGCATGGTTAAATGGGACCTTAAAAACCAGCCACTGGGAGTAAGAAGACATCCTTCCAGAAGTTCAAGTCACCCCCAAACAGAGGAAGTAGAAGATAAAACTCTGGCAAGATAACTTAATGTCACAAAGCAAGTCAGAAAAATAGAGAGACTCTGTGTTGCTAAAACCAGGAAAAATGACAAATTGATGTGTTCATCAGAAGCAGGATGCATGTCAGCATGACTGCGGGGAGAATAAATGTCAGGGGAAAAGATGAGGCTTCACTGCAAAAATTTATTTTTCTTGACACCTGCAGTCATTGTAGAAAGAGGATTTGGAAGTTTCCCCCTACCAAGACCTTTCTTTTTCGGGACTGATCTCAGCACCCTGAAGGGTTTGGGACTGTACCCCAAGACGGCTCTGGCAGAGCAGCTGCATCACTCTGGGGTGCTCCTATGATGACCAGCAAAATTGGCTGTCACAGGCAACCTCATGCTCAAAGCCATCTGGGAGGCAGCAAAAGCCACAGTTTTTCTTTTACGAAGCTCTGCAGAGATTTGGGTAACTGCAGATAAGAAAATCAGACATCTACACCTGACACATGGCAGCATCTACGAGGAACACCATCAGCAACGTGTAAGCCAGCATGGCAGGGTAAAGCCCACCTCACACTGGTCCATCCCAGCTATCTGCAAGAGCAGCAGAGACCGATCCCCAAAGCCTGGGTGGCTTTCGACAGAACCCCCTGCCTAATGGAATCATCCTAACCCACTAGGGCATGAGAGCAAAGTCTGTAAGGCAAGGCTCATGGGGCAAAACCAAGCCCAGCCTCAGTGGTGGGTTCTGACTTAGCTGCTACCACACCTGTAAGGGACCTGGGTATCAAAAGTCACAAGAAAACACCAGCTAAATGCCCAGAGCAGTTGTTGAGAAGATCGTAAAAGTAGCCATCAAACACTGGGAATATGGAGGCAAAGAGGAGAAAACAAAAAGGAAAGGAATAACTGCCACAGAATAACCCCCTGGTGCAGCTCGACTGCTGCACATGAAGAGGTGTAGCGGAGCACGAGAGGATGCAAAAGAGTTAGGGACAAAACTCTGGTGTCCAGCACTGGACAACTGAATAGGCCAGGAAGAGCTGAGGGAAGGCAGAGGAGAAGGAGGGTGATGTCTGGCAGCATCCATGGACAGAGCCCTGCCAGGGGGGCAAGCTCCAAGGCACTGCAGCATCTGGGCAGCAAGGCAGGGTTGTGGCAAGCGCCAGGCGCAGCCCCCCGGACACACAGCTGCCACGCAGGACCCACCGTTGGTGTCTTCATAGCTGGGCTGGCCATGCTGCGCAGGAACTGAGGCACCAGCCTCACCCTCCAGGGGGCTTTCACTGCTGTCCAGCTGTCCCACTGGTGGTGGCCATGGCAGGTCTTTAATGACCTTGATTTCAACTGGATGGGAGGCAGGGGTTGGGAAAGAGAGAAAGAGAGAAAGAAAGGGCTTAGAAAAAAACCATCAGCAACACCAGGCCCACAGAGAAAGAGAGCAGTTGTGCAGGGAAAAGACCTGAGGAACCCTGGGCTGGCTTGGCCAACTCATCCCTTGCCCAGCACTGAGACCCCCACTCCTCTGTTGGCTTTCCCAGCCAATGTTCTCTGGAGTGGGGGGAGCCTGCAATCACCCTCATCCCACCTGCACGGCAGATCTTTGCCAAGCGTCCCACTGCTATCTGTCCTGCCAAGGCATCCATCTTGCTTCAGGCACTTCCCAGTCACAGGGTCCAAATTTCCCTGCTACTGGGTTTCTGCCTTGTGCTGGCGCTGGTTGCCCATCAGCAGGCACCTTGCAGGACTCCCAAGGGGGCAAATGACCAGCAGAGACATTCTGGAACCGCAGGAGAGGTCCAAGAATGGAGCAGCCATAGCAGGACCTGCTCTGCCTCTGGGAGAAGAGAGCAGTGGGTTCTAACATGGCCCAGGGCATGGCAAACCTGGCTTCCTCGGCACCCAGAGTGAGCTTGAAGTACTCCATGCTCATGCTGAGCCAGACCTGTGAATTTGCCACCTCCACCCAGGGACACTGAGCATGGATCATCCACCCAGATCCAGAGCACAGACACCCCAGCACAAATCCCACCCAGCAGCACATCAGGCTCATGACAGAGCCCAACAAGCCCAATGCTCGACACTCCACCAGAGGTACTGGCCCTGTGCCCAGCCAGGGCCCACAGGTACCAGCACAGCCCGAGGCACAAGGGAACACGACGGTACCAAGCCCAGCACACACGACTCCAACTGACATAGCTGAAATCCAGCAGGTGAACCACGGCCCAGCCACAGGCCCCACACCTCTCTCCAGCACCCACAACTGCTGGCTCAAGCACCTTGTGCCCAGCAGCTGCAATGCAGGCACACACTATCCCCTGCAGACACACAGTGTCCAACCTGCAGGCTCGTACTGTCCCCCCTTGCAGGCACATCCTGCTGCAATTAAAAGGCATCCTAGGTCAGAGCACAGCAATTAGCCAGCAGTGGAGCAAGCGGTAATGCAATAATGGATTTCCTCATTAACAAACAAAACCACAGTTGATCCCACAGCATGGATTAATGGGTCAGGGGGCTGGATGATCACCTGGCCAAAGGCCCCTGCGGAAGCACCCAGCTCTTGTCCTGCCCTGAGGAATGACAAATCTGCTTGAGCCCAGCATCAAGCTTCTCCCCTGCACCCAAGGTTGTTATCGGTTAGAGGGGTGAAAAGGCAATGAGAAATGGGCACCAGACAGGCTGCCAGGGCAGCTCCATCCATCACTCCACCCTGCCCAGCTCCCTGCTTAAGAGAAACAATCTCTGTAAGTGCCCAAGTGCTCCCCAAGCCACAGAAACAGAAAGGCCAACACTACTGATCCCCAAAAGACAAAGGAATCCCAAGGAACCAGCTTCTCCCTTGCAAAACATGACACAGCATTGGTCACTGAATGGCTGCTACCCATCTTTTATGGCTGCTTCCATCACTCACCTGCAAAGGCTTTGGAGATCCGCTCCTTCTTCCACTCCCAAGGCTGGTCATACTCCTCTGGTGGCCGCTCATCGTCCTCAGGCAGCCGGGACTCCCTGGGCCTGGGGCAGGCAGGGAGATCACCATCCGCATCCAGCCCTCCAAGCACAGGCTCATAAGGAGTGTCGTAGAGGTGCAGCGGCCGGCCAGGAGCCTCCCGTAGGCCTTTCTGGCGGATTTCTATCCACAGAAGAGGGAAAAGACCATAAGCTTTTTGTCCACTACTGACATGGTCTGCTTGATGAAAAGGCTGGAGCTCCTCTCCTATGAAGAGAGGCTAAGAGAGTTGGGGCTGTTCAGCCTAGAAAAGAGAAGGCTCTAGTGCCTGAAGGGGCTCCAGGAAAGCTGGGGAGGGACTCTGGACAAGGGCAGGGAAGGATGGGAAAAGGGGAATGGTTTCAAGCTGCAAGAGCAGAGACTCAGATGAGACATTAGGAAGAAATTATTTATTGTGAGTGTGGTGAGACATGGAAACAGGTTGCCCAGGGAAGCTGTGGAAGTCCATCCCTGGAAGTGTTCAAGTCCAGGTTGGATGGGGCTTGAAGCAACTTGGTCTAGTGGGAGGTGTCCCTGTTCATGGCAGAGGAGTTCAAACTAAATGATCTTTAATGTCCTTTTCCCATCCAAACCAGTCTGGGATTCTATGGTTTCACTCAAGTGTGAAAGCAGAAGTGACTTGCTTCAGCAAGTCACTGAAGCAGGACCAAGCAGGGCGGGGCAGGGCAGAGAGCATCAGCAATGAAGCAGCCCCCCAAAACTCCAGCAAGCACCTGCCAGAAGTGGGGCAGCT